AAAATCAAAAAGTACATGTACTCGCGGGGGGTTCCGTGTAGACTGTACTACACAATCGCCGTGGATTAGGGCTACACAGACGCGGAAATGGGTGTTCTGACACCAAAATATACCTATACTCTCCGCGTCCCTCTAAAACTCGAACTCCACGGCCGGCCAACCCCGTCAAAGTCTTCGACCGTCTCTACTGTCTTTGTTTGTATTCATACGCAAAGAGTTACTTACCAAGTAAATTATAGTACAAGTAACGTGAGCTTCAAATAACACGTCACCAAAATATCACATAATATAAGGGTTTATTATTGTATATGACAATAATTTTGATACATTCAGTCAATTGTCTAAAATAATATTTGGACTTATTTTCCTGGTGGAAGCTTGGTCTACCTAGTACAACCAGTCCTTGTGCGCGGGAAGCACAAAGGTCACCAAGTAACAATTACTTGACATACAAACATGCAAATAACCCATATACAATATAGATCAACTACACAATATGCATATTCATGTTTAGAATTAAAACAGTCTCCTATACACAATCAACGCTTACAGAGTCAGTCGCTATACAGACGACTTGGGGAAAAGTCGAATACTACCCGAATACTACTATTTCACCACAATAGCTGGCAGTGCAATTTTAAGAAGACGGCAACAATTTTAAGAAGAAGGCAGTGCAATTTTAAGGAAATCTGTGTAGTATGCCAAACAATGTTTTATTGTTGATCGATTGCATTTTGAGCTTCAAACGATGAACGTTAAAATGCCTCAGACGTTGTCTGCTGCAAATATGAGAAGACTTTACAGGTGTTAAGAATTATGTTTGAAGAAAATATGACTAACGATTTGCTTTTTCCTTTATCAAATCCTTTGGTGATCAAACGCCCCAAAACGTGCAGGTCACATTGCCCAGAATTCAAGCATTGTAGGTGCAAACCCTATGTGTCCCAAATTTAGTGTATCTAACAACGAAACGCCAAATAGCCTGGAAAAATGTTATTTTGGGCCGGAGAAATGACTCAAAAAAGGGTTATAGCTTACGGGGNTTGGCGCGCAAACGCATAAAAAGTCTCGCATTCCACCAAATACAATTGTAGTGGGACACCACAAGGAGGCCCAGTCCCATTGTGAAATGATTGCATTTTGCGCTTCTAACAATGAACGTTAAAATGCCTCAGACGTTGTCTGCTGCAAATATGAGAAGACTTTACAGGTGTTAAGAATTATGTTTGAAGAAAATATGACTAACGATTTGCTTTTTCCTTTATCAAATCCTTTGGTGATCAAACGCCCCAAAACGTGCAGGTCACATTGCCCAGAATTCAAGCAATGTAGGTGCAAACCCTATGTGTCCCAAATTTAGTGTATCTAACAACGAAACGCGAAATAGCCTGGAAAAATGTTATTTTGGGCCGGAGAAATGACTCAAAAAAGGGTTATAGCTTACGGGGCCCGGCCAAGGTTCTAAGAGCAAAGGGACAGGTACAAATCTAACCACTATTGTTTGAAGACAATGGTCTTTACAATCCAAAATCTTGAATTCATTAACAAGTCACTGTCAAACTAAACTCAATGAAACTTCCCGCACTATGGTTACAAATTTATACAGTTTTGACAATTGGCTTCCAATGAACTCAACACGTTCTTAGCATTTGCTGGGAGCTACAGATAGGGGTTTCAGCTCGGCTATCGATTCCTTCATGGCAATCTTTGATGTATCCTGCGTTTGTCTATCATGCTTTCTTAAAAGCCTCCTTAGATGTATCTGCGTAAGAAATAGAAAATAACCACTTATGAAAGTGGGCAGATTTTGCACCAGTATGGACAAAATAAGCATGAAAGAGTATCACGTTCTCATAATCAGTCAGAGATCTTCAAGGTAGTTTCGGACTGGTTTGCTGTGCTGTGGGCATATGTGTGATTTATTTCCCCGTAATGCTTTCATAATGCCTCCAAAGGCAGAAGGAATCAAGCAACTGGATTTCTAAGGAGAGTGTGATCAAACTTGATTGCACGTGGATAATAGTTCCATTACACACATGTACTTACAATGTAAAGGATGAAGATGGCACATACAACGACTGAGATGGTAAGCATGACCACCAAGAAAATCAGGCTAACTGTGTTTCCTCCTGGTTTGGGTTTGGTTATCGACCCAATATCATGACCCAAAGCAGGTGTTGAATCTGTGGAAACAGTCAAAATAGGGACTCATGTTTGAAATGATCAGTGATTGAACCCCGATCAAAGGAAAACAAAATGATTTTTATCTTTTCGGCATTCTTGAAATATTAAAATTGTTTTAGAGTCATGAATAATTCATCATATGATTCAAGCACTCACATC